TTCTCAAATCCCTCCAACAAGCAGCTTCTCATCTCATACCAAAACCCAATCGTCTTACCATGCCTACAAACCTTGGATGTGCCACTGCTTCCCCTCCCCACAGGCTTCACCTCCCTCCACTCTTAGCCTACTCATTAGGCTCCTCAATGGACCCCTGGATTTTGTCTAAACATGCCTCAGGACCAACGCACTTTTCTCTTCATTTAGGTTTTTTTCTTAGAGGTCGCCTTCTCTAACCAGCCCATATAAAACAGTACTTCCCGCAGGATGCACTGGCTCACGCCTGTAATCCCCAGCCCTTTGGGAGGCTGAGGAGGAAGGATCACGAGGTCAGGAGTTTGAGACCAGCCTGATAAACATGGTGAAACCCCATCCCTACTAAAAATACAAAAATTAGCCAGGCCTGGGACTACAAGCCTGTAGTCCCAGCTACTTGGGAGGCTGAAGTAGGAGAATCACTTGAACCCGGGAGGCGGAGGTTGCAATGAGCCAAGATCCTGGCATTGCACTCCAGCCTGGGCAACAGAAGGACTCTGTCTTCAAATTTAAAAAAAAAAAAAAAAAAGAAAAGGTGGTTTCCTAATCCCAGTTCTTTATCCCCTTATTCTGCTTTATTTTCCTTCACAGCACTTTGTTACAGCAACAGAATATTGTTTATATTTGTTTTCCTCATTGTCCATAATCCAACCCCAATCAGAAGGTGACAGCAGGCACTTTGTTGGTCAGCTTTTATTTATCACTACAGTATCCTCCGCAGCTGTCACAGTGTCTAGCCTAGCCTACAGCAGGTGTGCAGTTCACATCTGCTGAAGTGAACTACAAAGGCCCAGAGGTGAGAAGACTGAAGGTTTAAGAAATTCAAATATATACACAACAACTCAATCTGTGTTAGGGTGAGGAAGATGTATACATATGAGTGTGTGCTTTAGGGACAGCAAAAAGTAAAAGATGAAACCTCAAAGGTAAGCTACAGCAAATTATGAAGAAACTTGCAGGCCATGCTGAGCTTTGTATTCTTTTTTCAGAGTAAGAGGGAACCACTAAAAACTCTTTAAGCAGGGAAAGGTAAAAATAGACTGCAAACCAAAGATGGGTTTGAGAGGCCTCAGAAGAAGGAATACCAGTTGTGGGGTTCTGATATAGGCATGGGTTGAAGTAGGTAAAGGCAATGGGGATGATTTTTGATGGTTTTTTTGGGACCACAGTTAGCAAGTTAGAAAGTCTAACAGAATACTGAAGGAACAAGAAAAGTGTAACTGAGAATTCCAAACCGAAAGACGTATGATTTCCATTAATCCACAAGGTAAGTGAACATCTGCTACTCAAACTGTCAACAACACAAAATTATGAACATCACTATTAAAGGTAAATTTTGAGATAAAGAAAATACTTGTCTTTGAAAATATTTAGGCAATGATAAACTAATGAGCCTTATATTGGATTTTTATAGAAGTCAAAGCAACTTCTGCAAAAACAGTAAAAATGAATTGGCAAGGAACTACTATTTCTGTACATTTTCTCCAACTTGAATTAATGCATTCATTTTCTCATCAGCATTTGTAAAGAATACAGTTGCAAAACTGTATCACTTAGACAACATCATACAGAAACAACAAACATTTTTATAGAGCAAGTATATGCTAGATATTATTCTAAGTATTCTCCATGTATCATCTCATTTAATCTTCACAATAACTATAGGGGTTTAATAATGCTCCAATATGCCCCCCCACCCCAAGGGACAGGGTCTTGCTCTGTCACCCAGGCTGCAGTGCAGTGGTGCTATCATAGCTCAACTTCTTGGGCTCAAGCAATCCTTCCATGTTAGCCTCCCAAGTAGCTGGGACCACAGGCATGTGCCACCAAGCCCAGCTAATTTTTCAATCTTTTTGTATAATGGGTTCTTGTTATGTTGCCCAGGCTGGTCTTGAACTCCTGACCTCAAGCGAACCTCCCATCACAGCCAACCAAAGTGTTGGGATTAAAGGCGTGAGCCACCATGCCTGGCCATGTTCCAATCTTACAGATGAGAAGCTGAAGACAGTTAAAAGTCAGAAAGCTGGGATTCAAAAACCAGGACGTGGGTTCTCAAAAGTATGATGTATTATTCTGTCTCCCACATCTATTTAAGTAAAAACCCAAATCACCTGGTGCTTCAGGAAAATTCAGTTATTTTATGCATTTCTATGGTGAAGATGAAGGAACTGATTTTACCTTATGACAAGATTCATTTACTTTTCAATTTATTATGTTATTGCTATGTGCTGGGCACAATGCTAAATACTAGAAATAAAAATGGTAAGCAAGACAGGAGATTACAGGTGACTAAATAGAAAATTTAAAAGATACTAACAACAATATCCAGTTGATCCTCAAACAACAAGGGAGGGTTAGGTTGTTAGGAACACAGACTGCGTGCAGTAAAAAAAATCCTTGTGTAACTTTCAACTCTTCCAAAATGTAACTACTAATAGCCTACTGTTGAATGGAAGTCCTACTCGCAGTTGATCAACACATATTTTGTGTATTATATATTGTATTCTTGCAATAAAGTATGCTACAAAAAAGAAAATGTTATCAAAGCAGGGTGCAGTTGCTCACACCTGTAATTCAAGCACTTTGGGAGGCAAAGGCAGGAGGATCACTTGAGCTCAGGAGTTTGAGACCAGCCTGGGCAACAGAGGGAGATCCTCTGTCTACAAAATAAAAAAATTAAGAAAATTAAGAAAAATTAAGAAAATGACCTAAGTTTACAGAAATAAAAGATAACTTTTATCTTTTTTTATATATCTAAAAACATTTCTATACAATATCAATCCTTTTTTTCCACTGTGTGCTTTAGTTTCAACACCCGTATCATCCATGCCATGGAAGAATCCAAAGCAGTCTTGTATAACCAAAATCATTCTGCCAGACTGCCTAATGTCCATCTGTTTTCTGGTGCTGTTTCCTCTATGTTCTCCTGATTGTCTAGCATTGGTTCAGGAGGATTTATCGCCACCAAATCCTCTTCTGTTAATTCCTCTGGTGTGGTATCTATTAACTCTTGAGACTTCTCCAAGATCCACATCTTAAAACACTTCACCTACCACCTTTCTGTCATATCTGCATCTCTTTCAGGACTTCCTTGATTGGCTCTGCACCAAATCCAGTGAAGTCATGAGCAACACTGGACACATTTTTCTAGGAATTTATTGTTTTGAGCTTGATGTCTTTCATGGCTTTTTCTATAATAATAATGGCATCTTCAATGGTGTAAACCTTCCAGACTTTCATGATGTTCTATCTGGGTTCTCTTCCCTAGCAATCCTTTCCATAGAGTACGATGTGTAATGAGCCTCAAAGGTCCCTATTCCCCCTTGAAATGGATGCTGAATTAGAGTTATGTTTAGCGGCAAGTACACCACTCTGACGCCTTCAGTGTTGAACTCACGAGGTTCTGAGTGGCCAGGAGAATTGTCAAAAAAACAAAACAAAACAAAAAACTCCCCAAAAAACAAACAAACGTTAAAAGGCAGCCCCTTACTAATACAGCACTTCCTGACTTAAGGGACAAAGCATGGATTGAATTAAACTAGGATAACGGTTCTAATTGTCCAGGCCATCTTGCTATACAACTGAAAGACTGGAAGCTGGTGTTTATCTTTTCAAGACTCAGGGTTAGCAGTTTTATAGATACGGGCAGTCCTAATCATAAACCTGACTTACGTTTACACAAAACAGTAGAGTTAGCCTATTGCTGCCTTAAATGCTGCTCACTTCTTTTCCTTACTTAAAAATGTCCTTTATGGCATTCCCTCCCCAGAACAGGGTGGCTTTATCCACATTAAAGACCTGTTCACACAGATAAACTTTCTCCTCAATAATTTTCTTAATGGCATCTGAGAACTCATCTGTCTCTTGGTTAGGAGAAGCGGTTTCTCTTATCTTGACTTTTTTTTTTTTAAGCCAAATCTTTTTCTTAAACTATCAAATCATCCTTTGTGGGCATTAACTTCTCCAGCTTTAGATCCTTCACTTTCCTCTTGCTTTAAGTTGTCTTCTAATGACTTTGCTTTTACTCAAATCATATTAGAATCAATAGCTATGCCTTTCTCATAGCAATCCTGTACCCACATAAAAGCTGCAACTGCAGCAGGTGATAAAAAGGTATTTCACAAAAAGCACAAGGTTTTTGTAACCAGTGGCGCAGCTATAGAGGTGTCTTCACCAACTTCCTCTACTTCTCCCGCCCCCCGCCAATGAATTCATTTATCTGGAAATGGTGGCAACCACAACCAGAGAACCTCAATCTACATGTGAAGCAATTCAACTTTTTCTTGTAATGTCATAACTTATCTTTGCTTCTTGGAAGCACTTCCAGCATCATTAGCAGAATTCCCATGGGTTCCCTGGTACTACTCAAGGTTTAAAATACTCGAGAACGGAGAGAGATCACCTTTTACTGCAATAATGCAATTTACCAAATACACAAAATGCTCACTTGGGATGTAAGTGAATACTTGCAACACCTGAGCTCACCATAATAGTAACAGGAGGCAGCTATGAAATTACTGCAGCAGTTAAGATTTAATGCTGAATCCTGACATCTGTTTATACTTCTCCTGACTGTGTGAAAGGCACCATGTATGTTATCTAAGCGTTTTCATGTGTAATGCTTGATGCATTTTAACTTTTTTATAATAGTCTTTTTGGTATATTTTATGGTAGTAAATGAGAAAACAGACTAGCTTCTATTACTGAAGAGCAAATTTGCAGATCATTGAATTTGCTCCTCCCTCCATAACACATCCTTCCCAAAAATAAACAGGTTTTCCAAGTAGTTGAGCAATGTCTATGTCTATTAAACTACATTTACAAGTTATAAATTTTTTTAAATTTTATGCTTAAATGAAATTCTAACAAGTGATAACCTATTCTTTATACACATTGCAATAATTTAAAATAAACTGACAAAAAAAGACAAGGCCCAAAACTAAGGTCTAGAAATTATTACTTACTGCAGGTACCAACAATTTCTTCACTTCTTCAACTGCTCTCTTCAATTTGATTTCTGCTCTGTTCTGAGCATCTTCCACAGTGATTAGTACATGCAAATCTTCATTTAGATGCTCCCAGTTGGGCTTGCCTCTATTTTGCTCCTCCTAAAAAATTTACAGAGTACACGATTACACATTTTTCTCTTTAAAGAGAAAGTACATCTTTCATAATACTAACCTGTTGTCAATAATTTCAGCTATCTTTGCATTATTTTGCTATGATGGCATTACAAATCTTTGAATTATTCTTCTGGGTCTTCAATGCTTGATTGAATGTTTGAGACTACTGGGTCAAATAACAGTTAATTAAATGAGTATTTGCTGAGCACCTACTGTCTACTAAGCACGGAATCAGATGCTAAAGATCAGTCCCTAGAGTGCTCCTATACAGTAAGAAACATATACATGATACTGTCCTTATATCACCAAGAAAAACACTTTGAGAAACATGTCATTATTTCTACACTTACGAGTAAACAGAAGGATTTCATTCTTTAATTCAGTAATCTTTCTACTTCATTACAACTGCTTTTATAGTAACATTGGTTGTACTCAACATTAGAAAAGGTATTTTGCATATAGGTGTTGTTGCATAAGATGACTGCCACTTGTTTTAAGTATTTCATGTGTTGAGTAATTATGAAAATAGTTTTAACTATATTCTCAACGGACTATACTTTAACTGCAAGGCTACTCTTTAATTATATCAAGGCATAAATACTATATTTTCATAGAGACTATCTATATGTCGTTTCCTTAATGTCTTCTAGTGAGGAATATCGCCATGTTGAAAACCTTGTCAAGCTACAGGGAGGTTAACAAGTAGGGTTGATCATAACTTCAAAATTGTTCTTGTTTAATGTTTTAGAGAACAGTAAAATTATAAGTGTTTTTAAATAAAATAAGAATATAAGTAGTACTAAATAGTATATATAAATGCACCTGGCTCACAGCAAGGTATCACAGACAATAATTATCTGCTGTTGTTGGATCTTTATTTTAAAAGTCACTATTTACCTAATTGTTAGATTCCTATAAAAGAAAATAAAGCAGGCATAATAAAACAGCTTTCTGCAACAATTAACATGTTTGAACTTAACCAATAAAAGTAAAAATAAATTTTAAGAGTAAATGCTTCTGCTTTATTTTTAGTTAATATATCTTTAGGATAAAAATGCATCCACACATTGTAAAGGGATACAGAAAAAAAAAATCAAGACACAATCCTATCCTGGGCCATCTATGTCTTTCAAAGAGTGAGCTCTGAGTCAACACAGTATCTTACAGGGGTACCATCTGTCCAACACTACGTGAACCACTAGCTCAGAATATCTGACTGTTTCAACATAAGATCACATTACATTCTTTTTGATGTCATATCTTTACACAGCAACATTTTTAGTGACTGTTGTAATAAAAATCAAGTCCATACAAAAATCAATGTGGAACAATACAAGAGGGTGGCAGTATACAATCTGATTGAAAACTTTTAAGAATTTGAACAGCACCCAAGGAAACACAAATGCTGTTAATAAATAACAGTTATTTACAAATAAAATATAAGCACAGTCTATTTCGATTCACGGTTTTTAATATAAATAGGAATTAAGTTGTTTGTAGATATTTAATAAAGAGAACTATGAAATATTTCTTTTTGACTAGGATACACCCTGCAAACTAAATGGGAAACTAAGGAGTCAATGAATCAAGAAAATGGGAACCTCAGGGTTATCTGTATGGCAAGGAATAAAATGTGTATTAATATCTCTACTGTGGCAAGAAAAATTGTTATCCAGATTTCAACTGCTATGTTAAAGAACGCTAAAAATATTTTCCCACCAAAATTAGTATTTTTATTTATCTTTTTTGGGGGGTGGGGGGGGGAAACGGACCTACAAAAAAAGCTACTGGTCTGGTTTTATTTGGTGGGCCTGAAAATGCACTTATATTTGCCTAAACGCATATGTATGAGGGACTTCTGCTACCAGGCAAAATACAGTAACAGGAACCAGATTTACCCTCCTGCTGAAACAACCAAAAAACAGGCAAAACATATAAACAAGTTTCAAGCCACTGGGTATCAGACAACTAAAGACAAACGACACAAAGAGATGGGAAAACCCGAGGTGAGCCTATGACTGTCCCCACTCACAGGCTTGAGGGTTTCCAGACAACTCCCTGACATGAAGACACTAAGCAAGAATCCAGGGAAACTGAGGCAGCCAGTGCTCACAAGAGTCCTGCAAGAGCTGCCACTCAACTATTCAGCTGAACACTGATCACTGCATACTTGAGAGGAAATTCCAGAGGCCAGGGAAGAAACCACCCAAAACGATTCCAGGTCAAAGTGCCCGGCTCCTGAAAAGAACCAGATTGAAAGCCTTGAATGTTTCCCAGTGGAAACACAAATGCCGTTAATAAATAACAGTTATTTACAAATAAAATATAAGCACAGTCTGTTTCTGTAAGGTACGCAGAAAGGTCTTGCCTCAGTGGTAGGAAATAACTAAACCTAGTCTGAGCACTGTTCCAGCACAAATTAAATACATTTTAAAAGAAAGACCAAATGCCTCAAATTATTTTCAACTAACTTAACTGTGTGTCCAAGGACAAACCCCAAAGATATTTACAGGAATATAAAAATATCCATCCAAAAAGGTAAAAGTGTGGCATCCAATTAGAAATTAATGTGCATGCAAAAAAGAAAAATGCGACACATGAGACCACCCCCTCAAAAATCAATCAACCCAAACCTATCAAGAAGTGACAGAGATGTTATTATAAATAGACAAAGACATTTAAAGCTGTGTGTGTGTGTGTGTGTGTGTGTGTGTGTAACACTAATGCATACAGATACTAATATAATGAAAACTGTGGAACATTTATAATACAACATTTTTGAGAAAAGCTTAGGAATAAAGACTAAAATTGTGACTTGCCACAGAAAGCTTATACATGAAGAAAAGCCAGAGAATTTTAAAAAGGAAATAATAAAGTACATGACAGAAACAAAGCTGCAGTATAATTTGCCATTTTGCTTTAAAGAAGGAATACATTTTTAAGGTGTATTGGCCAATGCATACTTTTATTAGTTCAACAACTTAAATGATACTTTAAAATAGGTGTCCCCAAACTGCGGTCCGCTGAGGCCATTTATCCAGCCTCCCGCCGCACTTCAGGAAGGGGCACCTCTTTCATTGGTGGTCAGTGAGAGGAGCACAGTATGTGGCAGCCCTCCAACGGTCTGAGGGACAGTGAACTGGCCCCCTGTGTAAAAAGTTTGGGGACGCTTGCTTTAAAATATAAAAATGAGAGAAAGCTACACCTACCCTGTTTGCTTCAAAATCAGTATTTTGGCTTACACTTCTAAAAATGATTTAAAGAGCAAAAACTTTCAAAGATGGAGAATTAATGAAACCATGTACTTAGACTCCCACCAAAAATTCTTCTACAACACTGTAGAGTTGAAAATGTACAAACTTGGCCAGGCACAGTGGCACATGCCTGTAATCCCAGCATTTTGGGAGGCTGAGGCGGGAGGATTGCTTGAGCCCAAGGAGTTCAAGGCCAGTCTGGGAAACATTGCAAAATCCTGTGTGAACTATAAATTAATAAAATATACAAACTCATAAGAAATAAGAAAATGGGAAAGGAAACCATTTAAAAATTAAGAATCTAGAAAGCAGATGGTTAACTTAAAATTTAGTAGACTCTAGTTGAGAGAGAAACTGAGTTCCTTGCAAATCCCCGCCCCCGACAAAAAAATACTAAGGAAATAGGCAACAGTGGAAATGGAGGTGAGGGTGGGGCTGAGATTGCTGGACTAGATGAACTCTCACTGAAAAGCATTTCAATCCCCATATCCCCTGTCCACAAATGACTAGCTATTAAGCACTCCCTAATTCCCAGCAATAAACCAGAAATTGATTCCAAAAGGAAGTAAAACACTTTCTGAAACTGTACCAGAAGAGCTGACAGGATAACTTCCAAACTGACAGCTGGGCTGTCCAGCCATCTCCCCTACTCCACAAGCAAAGAGAGGGAACCCAGGCTCACATCTTGGGGGCAGGAGACTTGAACGACTGACCCTTCAGAGAGTTAAGATACTGCAATGCTGAAACAAGAAAATAATGCTATATTTAAAAATTCTGAATACAAATAGAAACTCCTGAAACTAAAACTATGAGAGCAAAGATGAAAAACTTGATAGAAGATTGGAAGAAAAACTGAGGAACTCACAAAGTAGAAGACAGAGATAAAAAATGGTACATACTGTATAAATACTAGAGGACTTCTAAGAAATTCAGAAACTGAAATGACAGATGTCCAATCACCAATATAAGGAAATAGCAGAAGAAGAAAAATCATCAATTTTACACCTTTTACACAAAACTGAGGGATCTGAGCTTCCAGTTGGAAAGGACCCGCTGAGCTGTCACCACAAGGAATAAATGAAGTGGACAATTCAAAACAAGGTAGCAATCAAACAATCCAATGCAGCAATTTGAGAGTAAACACTAAAAGCACCTCTTTTAGTGTTTGCGGGGGCAGTGGATAGAGACAGACCAAACCACCCGTTTTCCACATCAGGCCTCAGAAAAATCTTTCATCTATATTTGCATATCAAATGTCGCACACAAAAAGGCTTTAAGGTTACGCTACCCAAAAGCCATGTTTATCCTACTGTAGTCCATTTCAGCTCAAAAAGAGTTAAATGCCTTCAGTTGTAATTATTTAATACAAACAGTATTTTACCCTGTGATCTCATTCTGCTTTTTAAGCAGATTATAAAGGTAATCTGGGAATGAAAGGTCTTACAGAGAAATCAATAAAATACACCCCAAAAGGTCTTCTTTTAGTCATAAATTAAGTATAGTTTCTAAACTCAAAATATCCATATTGGCTCATGCCTGTTATCCCAGCACTTTGGGAGGTCAAGGTGGGCAGATCACAAGGTCAGGAGCTCAAGACTAGCCTGGCCAATACGGTGAAACCCTGTCTCTACCAAAAATACAAAACAAATTTAACCAGGTGTGGTGGTGGGTGCCTTAGTCCCAGCTACTTGGGAGGCTGAAGCAAGAGAATTGCTTGAACCCGGGAGGTGG